AGGGATTCTTCCAAATGTATCAAAATAAAACCTGTGACAAGATTGGACCAATACAGTCAGATACCGGCGAGATAACTGATAACGACGGAGAAATGAGCAATAATCTGAATAAATATTTTTCAACAGTTTTCACCACCGAAAATTTGAACATGATACCCGAGGCACCGACTATATACAGAGATAGTGAAGAAAATAGATTAAGCGAGATAGTAGTGACTGGTAACGACGTTAGTAAGCAAATAGACAAGTTAAAGCCTAATAAGTCACCAGGTCCCGATGATATATTTGCCAGAATAATAAAGGAATGTAAGGAAGAGCTTAGTATGCCATTAGCAAAATTGTTTAACATGTCCTTAATAACGGGTGTAGTACCAGAATCCTGGAGGATAGCAAATGTAATACCGATTTTCAAGAAGGGAGATAGATCACTATCCTCTAACTACCGTCCAATCAGCTTAACATCAATTGCAGGCAAATTACTGAAAGCAATCATTTCAAACTCTATTCGAAATCAACTGGAGAAACACAAGTTGATCAATGATTCCCAACATGGCGTTCATGTGTAATTAATCTATTAACATTCTTTTCAGCTGTTTTCGAATCAGTGGACGAGGGGCACGACTATGATGTTGTATATCTTGACTTTAGCAAAGCCTTCAGCCGAGTCCCCCACGAAAGACTACAGTGACCCCTCGTTTAACGAACGCCTCGGTTAGCGAAATTTCGGTTAACGATTTACCTTCCATAAGGATCTTCAATTCGGTTAACGAACAAAAATTCGGTTAACGAATTTCTTACGAACCGACCTCAACATGTTTTCACTTGCACTGGCCGGGCAACCAGCTTTAGTATCAGTCCGCCAATACATTAATCGGTTCTAGGGCTTAAATTCCTTACTATTTTAGTATATATCAAGAAGTTTATACTATTCAATAATTTTAAAAGTTTAATATTAACTTTTTTAGTCATTTTAACAATTATTGAACATAATTGAAGGTAAAGAAACTAGTTTCTGGCGTGCCATCCAGCCTGTTAACACACCAGACAGGCGTTAGTCTCTCTCTGTTTTCAGTGGAGGTAACATCTTGCTTGAGACTCTCTTCAACTAAACGCTTTTTTTCTGTGTTTCCAAGCAAATTATTGTTCATTTTGAAATATATTTTACATATTGACAATATATAATGCAGTGCAGTGTTGATTTAAAGAAAATAATCTTGAAATACACCAAGAGAACTAAAATTTTATGGATGAAATGGTGCCATGGGGTGACTTCTCTTCCACCCCAATGCCTTTTCTTCTTCCTTCTCCTCCACCCCCATTCTAATCCCCATCATCATCATCATCATCATCATCCAGGAGCCTTCTACATACACACCTCAAAGTAAGTGAACTTTTCTACCATTTTTGTTGAATTTAGGAAATTTTCGGTGAGCTGGAACCAATTACCGAAAAACCCATTGAAACAATGGTTTCGGTTAACGAACTTTTCGGTTAACGGACGACCTTCTGGAACGGATTGAGTTCGTTAACCCAGGGGTCACTGTAATAAGAAAAGTGGAGGCTCATGGCATTGGAGGCGATATTGTAAAATGGATTAGTGCGTGGTTACAGGACAGAAAACAGCGAGTGAGCATTAACGGCACTAAATCCGATTGGAGCAACGTCACAAGTGGAGTACCCCAAGGCTCAGTACTTGGACCATTATTATTCATTATATACATAAACGACATAAATATCGGCGTAGACAGCAACATAGGTAAATTTGCTGATGACACTAAAATAAGGCGTGTAATTAAATCTGACAAAGGACTTCGCAAAACTACAGGAAGATCTAAAAAAAAATTTGAATGGTCTGAAAAATGGCAGATGAAATTCAATGTGGGCAAATGTAAAGTACTTAGTCTAGGAGATGTAAACAGAGAAATTAGATATCAGATGAACAACGATGTTATAGAGAAATCCGAATGAGAGAAAGATTTAGGAGTAATGATACATAGGAATCTTAAGCCAAGTAAACAATGTGTATTTGCTCGAAACAAGGCGAATAAAGTACTCAGGTTCATACAAAGGAGTGTTAGTTACAAGACTAGCGAGGTCATCCTGAAACTATATCTTGCGCTTGTGAGACCTCACTTGAATTACGCAGTTCAATTCTGGTCACTGTATTACGGAATGGATATAGAATCCCTAGAAAGAATTCAGAGGAGAATGACAAGACTAATCCCGGGCAGTAGGAACCTCGAGTACAGAGACAGGTTAAAGCAGCTTAATTTGCACTCCCTCGAGAAACATAGAGTGAGGGGCGATATGACAGAAGTGTATAAATGGAAGTCAGGGGTAAACAAAGGGGACAAAACAAAGGTACTAAAACTATCCAACCAGGAGCGAACTCGTAACAAAGGTTTTAAATTATAGACAAATTTAGATTTAGGTGCGTAATAGGTAAACATTGGTTTGCAAATAGAGTAGTGGATGAATGAAACAAGTTACCAAACATCATCATTAACTCAAATACGATGGATAGCTTCAAACAGAGGTTGGATGGATATATGAGCAATAGGGGTTGGTGTAAATGGGACTGCCCAGTATGGGCCAATAGGCCCGCTGCAGTTTCCTTCATTTTTATGTTGCCCCAGTATGTAACTGGATCTATGTCAGTCTTAACTTTTGAAAGAAACTTGGACAAAGCTTGGAGAAATCAGGATTTGCTGTATGTTTACAAAGCTAAAATTCAGTTCAACAAAATTATCTCGACCACCACCACGTATTCAGGTGAAAGTTTAGAGCTGGATACACAGGTGTAACAGCCTTTTTCCAGAACATCATTTGTGAGTATCTGTGAGTATGAAATGTTAAGTAAGGTTTTCAAAAGCTACATTAGTTTTTTTTTTTTACTCCACAATTTCCCTCCACTTCAAAGCCCTGCCCATTTAGAACAAGAAATATTGTTGGTAATTTTATTGGTTAAAATACTTGAAAAATATAAATTTCTGTCGGAAATGCTATAAAATGATTTATTTTCTCTTTCTCCCTATATGACTCAATATATAAGTAAGTGTTTGCAACTTCTAAATATTTAATAAGTACTTTCTGTTTAATATGGGTAAGACGTTAGGTAAGGTTAGGTAGGTTTCTTTGGTGAGTTACGTAAATTTCTAGTAAATGTTGCCTCTTTAAAAATAAGCAGTGGATATTTTGTAGTGACCAGATAAGTTCCTATTACTGCTATTTTACCATGAGTATGCTCTGATAGGCTCATCGCCCAGTATCAGCAAACAACACGAGAACTATATTTGACCATGAATCTGGCGGCATTTGCCATTTATTTTGCCGTGACTCAATCTTTGTGTAGCTGTAAATATACCTAACCATATTTCAGTTGTGCATGGAAACTTATCATTATAAAAGAGGCGACATTTACTAGAACCTGACCTACCCAACAAAAGAAACCCACCTAACCTTACCTAACTTCCTAACTGGGGGATATTAAACAGAAGGTACTTAGCCAATCAGAGTGCACTCAAGGTAAAATAGTGTTAGATTATCATTCGGTTTAGTACATATTCAAATCGCAGAGAAACACTTACTTTTAGGCAATTTCTACCTCATGAACACACTCCTCAACCCTTGATGCCTCTTGGAAATGTGTTTCTTTCAGAAAAATCGCACAAGTGAGGAACGCCTAAGAAATTAAATAAATAAATCTCCACCTGTCATTTCTTGTCCCACTGCGAGCTGTCTGGAGCCGTGAGGCGTGTCACACTGCCTGCCATTTTTTATCAAGATTGACGCATCTTTTTTTTCAAAAACGACGCACTTCATGTGGAAACGGAGGTCAGATCTGAACAAAACACGTCAAAATACATCAGAAATCAAACATTTCATGAAAAAATTCGAGGGTGTGCTAAAACAAATAATTACCTAGCGTTAGTAGGAATTTGGCCGGTCACGGCAAAATATCCACTGCATTAAAAATACTTAATGATAAAATCTGTGGAAAAAATGAACGAAATTGAACAACTCCTGGTGGTAGTACTGTTCTCAGACATTTTCCTCAACTTTTTTGAGGAAAGAGAATGGTATGTATAAAGCTTACCAGTACCATATATACAGTACAACACTAGAGCATATAATTATTTCAACAGTTGTAATCTTGTGCACTTCCCTATTTATAACCTTTTGTGCCCTTTTAACTGCTTTAAATATTTATAATTATACATATCTGAATGCAAAAGTCTCTTCTATGATAGTAACAATTCCTAATGAAGTAAATTACAGTACTGTACAACACATCGCTCTTAACTGAGAAAGCATATAAGTAAATTGTAAAATTACAGTATACATAATGTAAAAGCTGTACATGTGTGATAATAGCTGCTTGGAGCACTAAAGAAACATAATGATGCAATCTAGATGGTGTGAACCTTAATAATGAAAGCAATCTCAGGCTTAGCAAGCAAAATCAAAATAAACCCTTCTTAGATAACAGCTTCATTTCCAACTAAATATATTATAACACCGAAAAAATGTTGCTTCGTGTTCTTTTTAGTACTCACCGCCTGGAACTCATTGTGAAGTCATGGAGAAAGAACGAGTGGTAGAAAAGTTCCAGGAGGACAAATGCCCAGCGTTGATCACAAACAAACACTACTGCCACCTACTGGACCACTCTCCCTGCCTCTCATGAAATACACCAATATTGTCAATTTCGTTCATATTGTTAAATAAACTTTGATTATATTAATCTCATAAATATATATGCTATTATGGATCACTTTGAGATTTTCAATAAAAAAATTATGAACTCAAAAAATGTTGCGCTGGTGTACATTCAAGTGTTTTAGGTGTTAACTATTGAAGCCTCGGACCCTGAACCCTTTACTACAAGCCTATTATCTCCCTCACTAACTTCATTTTCTTTAATTTTCGTATATGGATGAGAATATCCATACGATACATAATTATCATAAATTATAAAAAAAAATCAGGTTACACTGCTTTAAAAATTAGCTCAGTAAAGTAATTATCTTGGTGAGGCTCGGGAGGGACTGGCGCCACTTGTTGACACTTGAACAGCTGTTGGCAGAACTGGGCCCTTAGAGCTGCAGCTATTGTGTAGTCGTTTACTATGGACGGCGATGACGACAGTAGTTTTATAGATGTAAGGAGACGTTTAATCTTTATCTTCTGAGTGTTACTATTATACACATATTACGGTGAATTTTTACTTTCGGACATGAGTCCCTATGGGTTGACCAATAGGTTTTTCCAGTGTATTTTAGTGTGATTTAAACGAATCTGACCTTCATTTTGGGCGGAAATTGCTCATTTTTACCACCCCCCAACAATAATGGGGGGGGGGGGGTTGGGAGAGCCTGGGAAATGGGGGTTTTTGGGTGGGGGAGTAAACAAAAACGAACTTAACAAAACCTAACCTAAGCCAACCCCTAGCCAGGGGGTTCCGCCCACAGACCCCCGGTAGGCCTAGCTTAAACTAACCTAGGTAAATTTATAGTTCACACAACTCTGTTAGAAACTCAAAACTATGTTCTTCTGATGTGTTATTTTATTTTGATTGGTTCTGACCTTGATTTCTGTCAGAAATTGCATGCTTTTTAGTTATCGCCCCCTTCTACCCCCAACAAGATAGGGTCTCCTATTGGGAATCGGGGTTTTGGGTGAGACGTTTTCCGGCAAATATCATGGCAGGTGAATACAAAATACACCAAAAAGCACAAGAAAAACACATAAACCTAACCTTTTTTGGGGTGACCTAACCTAATGTAACCTTAGCTGACCTAACCTTACATGACCTTACCTGACCTAACCTAACCTAACTGTCATGGTGATTTTACTAACCAAATTTCACTGTATGAGGGAATCAATGTTATTTCTTACCTTATTGGCCTGGTTCTGGTTTTTCGTCAGATTCTAAAAATGTTCCTGTGTAATCATTGACGGTGTACGAACACCGTCTCCTCTTTGTTTTGGGAAAAAGGAACGAGTTACTACAATGCCAACTATGTTGGTCTTGGTGATATTTACACTCCTTATTACACTTTACTGAGGTCGGGAGAACACTGTGAGAATGTGAGATCTAAAAAAATGCTCAATATAATTGAAGTGACGCCCATCGCAGACTTCCATGGTCGGAAATGAATTTGAATTCCAAAATATGAGAGACCCAAAATCACAATCGAATCTGATTGGGCAAAAAATACTGTGATTTCTAAACACAGAAGCCACAATTCATTTTAATCGGTGGCAAAAAAAAAATGCTTTTGATTGGCTGCCTGACGTATACGGAAATGTATGCGCATGACAATTTATGAAGGTAACACGGAGTGGAAGGTCGGGTAGGCGATAATGACTGAAGATTAATGTTAGAAAATATTGAAAGATTTGGCATGTGCTATCTCTGTTATTATACGTTTCAAATGGTAATGTAATAGAAGAATATTATCTTAAAATTAGACGTATTTTTTTAATATGATAATAGATTTGGCTCTAAAATATTGTTGTTGATGATGATGATGCCAACACTTTTTTTCTTATGGACAGTACATGGCCACTTTCCACCTACCATGGGTTCCTCACCAATGCCATTAATCTTTACTTTTTTCCCACCACACTCACTCTCATATCCTTTAACTCTATTCTCTTCTTCCATATCTTCAATTTCTTAAATTCCACATCAATGATAGCTAAGGGTGTACCTAGGTTACCAATCTATGATCTGATTTTACTTGTAAGTTACTTAGTAACAACAGCCTTGGTCATATAATGGGATCATGGGATCAATTCTTCATTTCTTGGTTTTATTTTGAGGTTAAAAGTCAGTGCTGTTGATGTAATTATAAGTTTATTAGAAATCCTTCAATTAAATACAGTATTTTCTTTTCAGGATTTTTTACAAGAAGTATTTGAACCTGCTGAAGTCAGTAACTTAGCACAAAATAAGCCATTTCTGTGTAATAAACAGAACTACAATACTCTTCTAGATTCCACTTCTCCACTGAAGATGACTTCAAGTACCCCACCATTAGAAATTGATAATGGTCGCAAAAACAGATCCCAAAATGCTGAAAATCCAAAGGACAAATCAAACCTGAAGTTTATATCAAGGGAAAATGGATGTATGGAAAAATTTACATCTAATGATAGTTTTGATTTTGATGATGATTTTCCCTTTGATAATTTTGAAATTGAAGAGACTAATTATAAAAAATCAGTCATAACGAGCACTCCACCAGATTCAGAATTTACCCAAAGCTCAAATATCAAAATGAACAATCAGGCTGAGATTAGCAAAGAGTTTAAAGCAAGTAATTTAGTCAGTAATGACACTGAAAAAAGGATTGATTTTAGGTCTAGAATTCTCAGAACATTAAAAGAAAATAAAAATTTAACTTCAGTCTCTCAATACAACTCTCCCTCTTCAATTTCATTACAGTCAGTAAAAAGCAACCTTATTGAATCCTCTCCATGTTTGTATGAAAATAACAAAAAAAGAGTATCTCCAGAACTCAGCAACATAAATAAAGAAGTCAGTGATTCATCAATTAAGAAACCATGTAAGCAGATTCATAGACCTGATGAAATCCATCCTGCTAACATCCATTCCCCTAGAACAACTAACAATATTTTAGGCAACAATAAAAAAGCAAATTTTCATCTTAATGCCAGTAACCAGTGGAAGACATGTTCACTTCCTCAAGGAAATAATCCTCAGTCAGGGCACCAGCAACACTCGTCAATTTCAATCACACCAATAAAGCCACCTCAAGTTAAAGTCCAGAAACTGTCAAACCCTGGGGGCCCTGTCATTCAGAAGAGAAAATTTCCAGGACCTGCTGGGATTTTACCACAATTGGTAAGTTGGACTGTCTATAGGAGTGAATTTCACAAATTGATACAGTACTGATTACAGAATTATTACTGTATTTATTTTTTAGCATTTTATTAGGAAAAGAGTATTTTATGAATTTTTATCAAGTACAGTAAACCCTCGAAAACTCGGCACATATGGGGCTCTGGCCTTGCCGGGCTATCCCAAATTCTGACTTATCGAGGCACTTTCCCCCTCCTACAAAAATAAACAATACAAAACTATCAACCCATATACAGTATGTGTACTGTACATGTAATTACTAAATGCAAGAGGGTAACACTTACCAGCACTGTGGGCAAAGAATGAAGCATCATAATAGAAGACACAGATGCATGGTAGGTGACACAGAGGCATGGTAGGTTATGCCGGTGGCATGATATGCCAAAATTTTCCCAGATAATTTATATATTCGTATTTCCTGAGTTATACTAATACATTCCAAGACCATATCCATGCCAGGTTATATGAAATTCTGAGTTATCAAATGCTGAGTTATCGAGGCATTACTGTACAATATTATGGTCAAATATAGAAATGTTTTCTCTGTAGGCCTTTCAACATATTTTTACTACTAAAATGTAATTATTTCAGGGTGTGAATATTGCTGTTCCTAACATCCAGCAGTTACATGAGAAGGAATCACCTTCATCTGTTGTTCAGGTAGGTTATATGCATAGCAAAGTTATTAAAACACTTTCCATAAACTAAGCTTGAGGGTTAGTTACATTCTTGAAAAACCTCACAAATGCAGAAACATTGGTTCAGTGGGAAAAGGGGTAGGTTCTTGGTACAACTAAACATGGGGGAGAATGGTAAGTTTAAGAACAATGACTACCATAAATATTGTATCTGTAAATAATAATACATTCTAAGCCAGAAGGATGGCTCCTTGGGAGATACAAAGGTGTGTGTGAGGAGGGCTGGAGATGGTGGTAGCTGACTTAGTAGAGGTTCTTTGGATTTCAGTTTATAAGAGAGACATGTCTAGATGGACCATTTCTCATAACACTCCTAAAAAGTGAGGTGCTTCCCCATTTGGAGTAGTCACCCTGTCTGGTCCCCAAGATATGCTAAAGAATACTGTACAGCACCACAGTTACTCATAGAGATTGGAATGCTTGCAGTTGCCTAGCTTTTACTATAGATACACAAGGGGTGACTTAACCCCCAGGCTTTGGTTCATATCATATGATTTATGTACTTGTATTTCTTTGCTGTTCACATCATGCATGACCAGTTTGTGAGAATAGATTTTTTATTTTCTTCCCGAACATACCCACGTATAGGGGGGTATGCCTACCATAGCCTGATGCCTGTCCCACCAGGGTGACAGCTTAAAGGGACCGACTGGCAGTTATTCTTGAATGTGTAATTTGTTTTTGAGTGTTTTGGGGGGGGGGGGGTTTTTGTGAAAATAATTTTTTTTAAGACATACAACATTGATTATTTTATGATATGATAATAAATATACAAAACACTTGAATTTAACTTACCACAACCGATGTTGAGTGCTGCGTTAGGCGAGGTGGTGAGGTAAGGTGGTGCAATCAGAGTTACTGGGAGGGAGACGGAGGGGCACTACTGGCTCCTGCCTCGCCCTGTACAGCATTGTAGCAACCACCAAGAAATCTACACAAAATAAATTTTATAATTCCTGCAATTTTTTTCTTATAGTATTGAGAAAAAATGAACTTAAAAATTTCCCCAATTTCCGTAAGGGCAAATTTTTTGTTAGTATCCCGAATTTATTGGTCATAATTTACAAAATCCGGAAGAATGAATTTCCGTAACCCGCGGGATGCCTGTAGGCTAATTATGCAGATATATATATAATTTAATTAAGAATCATGATCACTTCATGAGCCTAACTGACTGTAACCTTTGTGAACCAGCTAGTTTCCACTGTAGTTAGTCGATTAAGCTTTGATGTCTTAGGAATTTGCATAAATTTCAATGAGAACTGAAGACCCATTGGTTCAGAATTTTATTTTGGTAATTTTATTTTTTGTTTTTTCCAGGATGTAGTGTGCTCCCAGGACTCTGCAGACTACTTTTCTCAGGGACCTTGGCAGCAGATGATAAATGATTTGGACCTAGATCTGACTGAAACAGTGTCTCCTTTGAAAGTGTTCAATATTAAATGGGTACTTCGTACAGCTAGCTTGAAAGGTCAGGCAGGAGTGCGCAAAGTCCCATTTTTAGCTGTAATAGTGCACAACATTGATGTTAAACATACAGATGCTACAGCGATATTAAAGGATCCAACAGGTAAGCACTGTAATTCTAGGTATAACTGTAAGCCAATTAGAAATGTAATTTTTCTTACAATAACTGGCTGGGAATCCAGCTTTGCAGAGTTTCCTTTGAGGGTCAGCTCATAGCCTATGTCCTTTACTACATTATCAGTTACACTCTATCCACCACACAATCTAAATCTACACTACATCCACATTGCTATCATCTACACTACATCTGTTACACTATTATCTATTCTTCAATTTCTCCATTACACTACATCAACTACATTCATCTATGCTACTTTAACAACACTGTCATTTAGACTACTGTACATGTACAACAGTCAACAGCAGAAGTTTGGCACGAGCTAACCTGCATGACATGAGGCAGGTGATCTGGTAACACTGTATAGGGAAGAGTTGACAGATACAGTATGCTTTAAATGGCTATAGTGCATTTTTTCTCAGCTGAGAAAAGATGCCCTACCCCCTCCTCAAGAGATACAGCTGATTGGCTGTTGCAAATCTGTTTGATTTTGTCCTGAATTAATTATGTATTTCTAATACAGGTATATGTACTAAGACAATAGATATTTTTTAAGAGATGATTTAAAGGAAGGGAGTGTAGTCTTTGCTCGGATGGGTGGGGGTAAGTTCCTTCACACCCTGATATTTTATGGAGGTCTGGGACTGAGAGGAGCGCATGAGGGGTGGTCTTAGTAGCTCTGGGTGCCTTAAGTTGTATCTCTGATTATTCCGGAACTGGAAATAATTATTGTCAAGCAAGTGATTGATAGATTTGTAAACAAAGAGGGCACAGCAGTAGGTGTTAATATCTTCGAATTTTTTCATTTTCAATTTTGCAAATTTTTCATTTGTGTGATATGTTTTTTTACAAGTAGGTCTTTGTCCGTACAACTCTCTTTTGTGCAGTACCCAGGAATTGTGTTTTTGGAGAGCCAGAGACCCCCATAGTGTGTGACAGTGTATCAGGTGTTGGTAAACAAAATCATGATAGATTTCTTTTATTGCTGTGAGAGTGAGTGACTGTCAAGTGTGATACAGGATACTGCACTGTTTATTGACTTTACTGTGAATGGCTTGTATGTGGTTTCTCCAGTTAAGTTTCTCATCAACAATAAAACAATAACTCCGAGGAATTTAGTATTTTGTTCGCGTTTGAGGACTGTATTACCAAGGTACAGGGGGTCCAAGTCTGGGGTCAAATTTTCCCTCTATGAAAGATAGTGTAGTGGGTTTTCTCAAGGTTTAAGGTCAGTTTATTATGTATTACCCAGGTCCTGCCTTTAATCAATTCAGTGTTCATAGTTCTCATCAAGGAATGGAGGTCTGAGTTGCTGGCATAGCGATTACTATCGTCTGCAAATAAGTTGTATTTTATGAGTATGCTGGCGTGGACTATGTCGTTTATGTACAACAAAAACATTACTGTACCGAGAATGGAACCTTGGGGGATGCCATACAAGATTGGCGAGGAGTCAGATTGGTGATTATTATAGCAGACATACCTGTACTGCTTCCTGTAAGCTCACATTGTTAACTGTGTTGAGTGTAGTAATTTCTAACTTGTATCAATTGACCATGTGGTCAATAGTAGAACCTGTTCCCAATAATGGATCTTACTGGCTGAGTTTGCCAGAACTTAAAAATGTCCTTTATTGGGAATATCCGATATTGAGAAGGTCTACTGTAATGTGAAGGAGAGTGCCATACAATAAAAACAGTAATGAATTAGGGGAACACTGCTATTTAAATTTAGGAAAACTTTTCTGTTGTATACAGTGATATCCCCATTAGCAGGAATAATTGATGCAGAGCTCTTCTGGGAATGAGAAATTTCTGGGTATGGAGACAGATTTTTTCATCCTAGAAAAAATCGCACATCCCTGGAATATTTCCAGGTACTGTACTGTACTGGGGAAATTTTCTGAGAGTCTAAACTATGCATGTCACACGGACAGGGAAGCACCGATTATACATTTGGGTGCATGCCACATTAGCATTTCGAGCATTTAGTGCCACCTCTTCCTCCAATTTCCTTGTTAGCTTCAGATGCATAAGGTGTAAAGTGAAGAGCATCAGACCAAGAATGAAAGATTGATACTGAAATACCATTTTAATACCAAGCCTGGAACTAAGGAGATCTCACATGCCTGGAATTCTAATATGAGTAACCCAGGTGGTGGTTGAGATGTAAGCATGCTAGAGTGACATTACAACTCTCCTAATTGTGACTTTTACTTTCAACAATCACTTCTGGAACTTGGTCTTGATCAGAATGCGTGCTTGATTCCTGAATTAGTTTTAACTTTTAATATCAAAGGGTCTCCTGGGTCCTTGGCCCATATGCACTGTGGTTGCTTAGTTCTAGTCTCAGCCATAAATGGGATTTCACGACCCCCATTTTTTTATTAGATTATATAGGGCATGAAACAGTAAAATATCCTTCTTCTTTTTTTGGCAGGAGAAATGAATGGGACAATTGCAAGTTCAGTAATGGATGAATATGGTCCATTGTTGCAACCTGGATCTCTGCTACTTCTCAGAGGTGTGACTGTGCTTTCACCAGTTGGTATGAGACCAGCTACTGGATTGAGGGAACACGCTCGACGACACTACCTCAACATAACTCTTAACACTGTGCTCACAATTTACACTCCCGATGAGTTTGGACATGCCAATATAACATCTATTGGAAGAGTTGATAAAAGGGAATTGTGTAGAGAAGCAGCTGCCCCAAAGATTGCTGGTGGGTCTCGAGCTATTGTTGAAGAAGAGGAAGAGGAAACGCTCAAAGACGATTCTTTACAACATCGATCCCTCTTCTCCAATGTGACTAGCTGCCATGGTCGGTTAGATCAATCAACTTCCTTTGTGCAAATTCCTAATTATAGATCCCCAAAATTTGAACTGAATCCCAACTTACAGATTAACCTTCCTCAGCCTCAGAGATCAAATCAACAGTACTCACCAGTTAATATCCCTCGCTTTACAGGGCATGCTAGTTGTAGTAGGCCTAGGCTGCCATCTTCAGTCCAAAATGGAAAAATCATGAGTCCCAGGATACAGTCTTCAGTACCACATTTACAATCTAATATCCAACCTTCACCCATCCAGCCAAAAGTGCCAGTCATTTATAAAGGACCTACAATAAGACATCCATCATTGCCCATTAGTAATGCATATGATGAAGGAACTAACAAAACATCAAATTGTAACAAATTTTCCAGTCAAGATGAAGAGAAAGAAGTCAATGATTTATTGGAAGGAGTTGACACAGATTCATTATTTGGGGATTTTTAGTTAAATATTTGTGACTTTCAAAATTAAAAACTTTGTAAATAATACAGTGTACATAGCCTTTAATAAATTGAGATTGTTAAGACATTGTTAAAATCATATTTTTTTTTTCCTAATTTGTACATATAGAAATACGTACTCTAGGTCAAAATGTAAACAGTATACAAATTTCTACTCAGATGTAAATTTCAAATAAAGGATTATACTTTTGTTGTTACATTCATCCAGTTTTTTTCTGATTTAATAGTCCTTAAGTAAAAGAGATAGAAAGATTTTTATATGGGATTAGCATGAGAGTATGATGGAATTGGGGTTAATGTACAGTCCTGGACCAAAGTTCATGATACAGTCAAGGTGGAGGGTAAAAATTCTGCTCCCACCTTTGCTGGGCGGCAGTTCATTGTCTGTCCATCACCCCAAAACACAAGCAAGCACCCAAGCAGTTGAACATATTGAGCTCTGATACTTCTATTTCTCAATAAGGACTGGAAAAGGATCTCATTGTTTTGCATAATAAATTCACAAAACAATTTACCCAATCAAGTTTTACACTATTATATATAATAGCGTATATCATTATTAGATAATTATTACATAATCTTTATAATACAGAAGACACAGTGAACAAAGTGTGTCTTGGTGGCTGGGGTTGCAACGATAATATCAGAATCCTCTAAACTGTTTCCTCTCAGAGTGGTCGTCAGTATACTAAACTTGAATATGGGGGTTAATATGGTTTGTAAGAGAATGCCTTATCACCCTCCATGATAATGGCCTTATCATAGGGTCTACCGCATGTAAGCTTGGCTTGATCCGCATGATGGATGACATGATGGGAGTATAGTGGACATATGAGCATTGAGCAACCCAATTAATATAAAAATGTGTCACATCACCATTGATTAGGGTTTGAAAGATAAGTAAGGTAAAAACAACCTAACCATATTTTATTATTAGGTATACTCGTATAGGTAACCCATAAATGTTGCCTCCCCCCTTCCTACCCTGAGCAAGCATGCACTTGCTGTGTATGGCCACCACCCCAACCAATCACCTCAACTCAGTTAGGTGGATAGTCTCCATCTGCTTTTACTCCCTGTTATTTTACTTCCCTTTTCTATTCTTTCCTTCTCCCTTTTTTCTCCTATCTCATGGCAAATTCATTTGCCACTTTACTTCATTATCATTATCTAGCTAATGTTTATAGACTCAATACCTTTGTAAATACTGTATTTACAGTTATAAAAGGTAAAACAATTATTCTAACAATCTATTCTTTAGATTATAAAATTTATGCATGATACATGTTGTTACAAAAATTATTCATTCATAGCCATGGATGCCACAAGGTCTTGCACCAGCAACGGTCTATCCCTGTAGTATTCCCACTACTGTATCTGTTAATGTGCACCATAATGTCAAATAATGTAAAACTTGGTTGGTTAAATTCTTTCATGAAAAAACTACCAGAGCTGACTGTTGACCTGTGAGGGTGCTTGTTTGTGTGTTGCAGGATCTTGAAAAATTTACCCCAACTTTAAAATCTTGAGAGATATTTTTGAAAATCTCCCATATATTGAAAATTATCTTATATTTTTTATTTTGTTTTTATATTTACAAATCATAGTTAACTTAGATATGGCAATGTTCTTTTGACATTAGTTTAAGTAATTTGGCACCCCTGGGCCCATGATTCACCAAATTTGCACAGGAGCAATAATTAAAATTAACTACTTAATAGGCTACACCGGTAAACTATTACTGTACTACAGTACAACAGGTCTCCGTGTTTAGGTACAGTAAGTCCTCTTTTAACGTTACCCCTGACAACATTGTTTCGTTATAACGTCACTACTCTTTAAATACCCATGATTCGGACAACGTCCCACTGATTCAGTACAATATAACGTCGTCACGGACTACTTTGTACAACGCTTCGCCCTCTCTCACTCAGTCAGAGCGGGAGGAGTCACCCTCCAGGTCTCAGTGACTCGCCACCCTCCTCCTCCTCTCCACTACCCACCACACACTCGCTCCACCTCCGCCCATCAGTAAGTACAATACAAAATAATTTAGTTTACAGGGTATATTTATCTTTTTGGATGTATAATATACACTATTTTCTATAAAAATTCCATTGAATTTATGTGCATGTACAGTAAAACCTCCGATAACAATGGTTCAACCAACAACTTTTCATATTTAAAACCCTAGTTAATTTAGGACCCAATTCAATTTACATCCTTATTTCATTTGTATTTACAACCAAAATACAGTACTCTGTATAGTCTGGGTTTACGCAGTCAATGGAGGTCCGCATATAACGAGAAACGCCTAAACAAAATAACAGAACATATGGGATTAATTGAAATAGAGACTGGGCCGACCCCCACAATACATACGTTGTAGTAAAAATAACTAATTAATTTTATGATGGTATGCACAATTAATATTCAAGAGAAATATCAATAATATTAGGTTCTTTAACACTTACGTTAGTAGAAGAGATGGCTGGGCACACGGGGATGGGGGTTGGTTCCGAGGCAGAGGGCAGATTATTGGCCCTCACCTGTGTCACCTGTCTCACTATCCACCACAGAGGCTAGCTGGGCATCCTTGTCAAACCCCTCAAAGTCCATATCCTCACTATCACTATCACTGACTTGGGCTGGCTGTGGTGGGTTGCGGGTGAAGAACTTGTAATGTTTTGTTGACGGCTAGCATTGATGTGGTCGTGATACATCTGAACATAGGGCTCCATGCATTTCAACAGAAGGTTATTCGACACTTCATAGCAATGATTGACTGGGTCTTTGGCAAGGATGAGCTTCATTTTCTCAGCAAACTCGGTGACCTCCTTGACATCAGCATGTGTTAGTTTCTGCTCTTGTTCTTCCGCCATAACACCTGGCTGCTCACTGACGTCATCCTCTTCCAACATCTCGTCCGCAGTCACCTCAGGTTGCCTGATTACCTCCAGGATGTCGTCGTTGGTGGTCTCGGAGAAGCCTGCAGCTCTAACACTTTGAGCAGCCTCTCTTGCAATGTCCAATGCCACAGCAACAGACTGAGCCTCACCAGCCACCGCTTGCCTCTGCCTCCCACCTGGGATACCCTCCAACACATTCCGCCACGCGTGACTAATCGTTGCCACAGATAGCTGCTCCCATGCCTCCACCAAGAAATCAACAGCTTTCTTCACGTTAAAAAGTTTCCAGAACTGCTTGACTCGTACTTCATGGTCCGCCAAATCTGGTTCCAGATCCTCGTCCTCGCTCTCGCTATCGGTGCCACTCAGGAGGTTCTGCAATTCATTCTTGGTGAAGTCGTTCAGGAGCCGAAACTTCTTTGCGGAGAAAGCAACCTTCACGTTGTAAATCAACTCCTGATCCATGGGCTGGATTAAAGACGTAGTGTTAGTGGGAAGGAGGACCACTTTTCTGTTGGGGTGACAATCCAGCAATAAGGGCGAGTGTTCTGGTGCGTTGTCAAGGAGCAACAAAATGTTGAATGGAACATTTTTTTGCTCGCAGAATTTTTTCACATCAGGAACGAAACAGTTGTCAAACCAGGAGAGGGACAGAGCAGTGAACATCCACGCCTTCCCTGAGTTTAGCCAGTGGACATTGAACTTGCTCATGTCCATATTCTTGTATGCATGCGGCTTGCGGGCTTTATGGATCACCGACAACTTCAGCTTACAAGTGCCGGAGGCATTGGTGGTGAACAGGACGGTGATGCGCTCCTGCATTTTTCGGCCTCGACACTTGCTCGCAGACTTGACTACGAAGGTCTTGGACGGCAATTTTTTCCAAAACAACCTTCCTCCATAATTTCTCGTAAAAATGGGGGAAAATTCATGGCTGCAGCCCGGTCGGCACTTGCTCCTTCTCCGACTATCTCAATATTGGCGATCTTGTTTCGTCGTTTGAAACCTTGAAGCCACTCAGCGGAAGCAGTGAAGGGCTTGGGCTCTGCAACTCCCATTTTTCTTGCCACTGATCGGTAGAGTTCTCGGGCGTAGTCCTGCACTGCCCGAGTGTCGACCGCCATGTTCCTTCTTGACTGACAAATCAAGTAGCTGACCCTCAGTCTTCAGCAGCACCTTATTGTGGCAATATTTCACCATCGAGGCACCTACAGACTTTGATCTTGCCGGAATCCTTCTTGATCGTGTGGATCGTCGATTCGTTCACTCATATTGTCTGGCCAGATCCACCTGCCTCGTGCCTTTTTCTAACTCCTGAACGATCTTGTACTTAACTTCATAGTTTAAGGCGCATTGCACCTTCTTGGGCTTCGGGCGGCTTGGGCCAGGTAGTTCAAGGTTTCTCGGGGGTGGTGGGGGTCCAGCGGAAGCGACTGTTGAACAAAAAAAATGGGCACGAGGGAGCACTGTTTACACGGAGACGGAGGACAATGGGATTGGCACAGCCAAGGTCAGCTACTTATCCCCTCTGGTGGCAGGGCACGCAAAGTTAAATAGACCAATCACAGCTCGCTGCCGAGGGGATGCTTGGGTGGTAAGGATACGTGGCCCAATCACAGTCCGAAAGGTCATCGGCACGAGTCTGACATCAGCGCCCAGGACCTTGCGCGCAACTTGCCCACGCCGCTTGCCGCGTAAATTAAGGAATGTACCGCGTAACTAATAAATGTCGTGTCTGGACAGGTGTCGCGTAAATGACCAAACGCATATAAAATATCCGCGTAAATCCAGACTACACTGTATAATAAAAATTAAATAAAATTACATTTTCATAAAAGTAATAACTGAATCTCAATACAGTATGTATAATAAAAAAAAAATATTACTTTAAAAAAAATGAAGAGCACCTTGTGCAAAGAAGCTGCCTGGCTAATGAGTGGTAAATAACAGTTGGAGCTTGGTGGGCCTTTTGTTTTCACGCAACTGGAACAGGAACAGGAGAAAAACTTTCTCAGGTTTCTTACAGCATTTTTGCATCCCTATTCAACATGAGCAAGAGAGCAAGTGAAGGTAATGTTGGTTCAAAAGCTAAAAGAACGTGTATAAGCTTAGCTGAGAAACTAGATGAATTAAAACGATATGAAAAAGGTGAAAGGTCTGTGGTTATTAAATGGAGCAAGCAATGAATATATTTTCTGAAGTGGATCCATTAACAGAACAAAGCATTAAAATTTAAATAAACTCAAATGACCTCTACAGAAAGATGTATAATGAGAAATGAAAGCAGCTGTTCA